TTGTGCTCATCTTGTTGCTGGGCTTCATCTGCATTTGATGGGTGGCCTCAACTTTTAAATAAATATAAACTAAAGTAAGTACAAAGACACATTTTTTCGTGCTGTGAATCCCCAAAGTCCTCCGCCAGCCAACTTTCCTTGGGCACAAATGCAGACAGAATTCCCTACAGTATGGGCAAACCCTAGGCGTCAAATGAAAGCTCACAGAGCCCCCCTCCCAAGCTATGGGCTCGTGAGCGTGCTCCACAACTGCAGTGGCATCTGTGCATACCAGCCAGTCTCACACAGGCTTTGCAATCCCTCTTCCATCTGGCCATGCATTTAAGGCAGGTTACCTTCTTTGTCAAGTCTGTAAAAATGCTGCGTGAATATTCATACATTTACTTATTTATTTGCTACCTTTTAATTTTAAAAGGGATTTTTAAAAAAAGTGTAAAACTTTGTTGATAGTAGGGACGCGCGCAGCCAATGAGCACCGCTGGCTTCTGCTTCAGACTTGCAGAATGATTTTTAAGAGCTCAGATCTGGAAAGGAAAGGTACATTTGGGCCAAACCCTACAAGGGTCTTTTCAAAGCAGACCCCCCTGCTTTAAAAAGAGTCTTTCTTCACCCTCCATTAGCCAAGTATCATACAGCGATGGTTCAGGAAAGCAAGGTACCCTTTCCATAGGCCTAAAAGAGTATTAAAACATAAATATAAAGACAAAACACAAGTCCCCGATTAAAGGGATGGACTCAGTGTTGTCAGCCTCCAGGTGAGAATTAACACTCATCTCCCAATGACAGACATCAGTTCCCCTGACCAAAAAATGGCTGCTATAGAAGATGGACTCTATGGCATTACACCTTGCTGAAGTCCTTCCCCTCCCTAATCCCTGCCCTCCCCAGGCTCCACCCCATACCTCCAGGAATTTCCATACCCAGAGCTGGCGAGCCTAGATGGATCTGATGAGGTCGAAGGAATTGAAGCTTAATCTAGGCCCCGGTCACAGGGGCTGGAAAATGCGGGGGGGGGGGAGCGTGGCCGTTTGCCCCAGCGCAACCTAAACATTGGTGAGCATTAAAGAGGATTCTCACAAAAGGTGTGCATCTGCGCACAGATACGCAGAAGTGGCCATTCCCTTTCCCTGCCACTTCTCCTCCCCCTTTTCAAGCCGTTTAAAAATAAACAGTTCCTGTACAACTGACATGCATTCTGACACCACCAACTGATAGACTCTGACAGGTTTATAATGTTCCGTTGGTTATGAGGAAATTGCTGGTTCTCCATTCATTACTTTGAAACCCTGTCTGAAAATATGGCAACCTCACTTGAAGCAGAAGGCTGTCTACAGCCCTGGAAGGGAAAAAAAAGTGTACATCAATGACAGAAAGTGACCCTGCTGCAAGTCGCTCTGTTGAAGGGCACTGAATTCCCAGCTTTGAAAACAGTGTAGCGATTGTGTTGAGAGGGGTATGTATTGTATGAAAGGCATTAGGGCAGTTCCAAAACTGCCTGATAAGGCTTCTGATTAGCACTCCTGCCCTACAGCTATCCTGTAAAGTAGATAAGTATGCTCATCACAGGTGGGAAAGTGGACAATGAGGCAGAGAGCAGGTTGCAGTAATGCCATGCAAGTGAATCCATGGTGGTGTGCCGTATCTCATCACCTGAGCTAAAATTCTACATACATTCAGCTGCAGCTGAGCCCCCAAAACAATTTTACCTAAGATCCTGGATACAAAAGTCACTGTGGTCCTGGTCACACGGGCCGGAAAATGTGGGGGGGGGAGCGTGGCCGTTTGCCCCAGAGCAAACTAACGCATGGCCGCCGGATCCCATGTCTCGCGGTTCAGGGGGAGGTGGCGATCACACGACAATCCCGCAGCGCGGCAAAGAAGCGGCGTGGTGCGATCTCACCAACGGCATGCGCGATTCTGTGGAGCAACGGAACTTTCACTTTCCTCTTCGTGCGCATGCGCCGTTGGGTGCTTGTGTGCATCCTGTGGAGACTTGGGGGGAAAAAACCCTGTTTGCGACGGGACAGGGCGGGCGCCGGATGCCACGGACTACTACCGGAAACGCGATCAGACGCCAGCCCTTGCCCCGCGGTTTCTGGAAACTAGTACCTCGGAGGTACTAGTTTTTAACTCTGCATCTTTGGCGGGAAGCCTCGGGTTCACCATGGGAGCTCTACGCTTCCCAGATGTTGCGGTGTGATCGTGCCTGGAAAATCTGCCTATCATCCGTCTCAGTAGCGTGGCTAATGCTCCGTGTGATCGCAGCCCCAGATAAGATAGAGACACTGCTGGTGGGCGATTCTACTAATCACGGTGTAGATGTTCTCCTTGTTCTAGATGGGCCTACGCTTCTCTCTGAGAACCAGCTGTGCAGTTTAGAGGCAGTTCTAGATCCAGCACTGCTCCTGGCTGCTCAGGTAAAATCTGTTGCCCAGAGTGCCATCTTTAACTTTGGGAGACTTCCCAGCAGTGTCCTCATCAGGGAAAGAAAGATATTGACACTGTTATACATTCCTGAGTAAAGTCCAGATTAGACTACTGCAATGCATTTCATGTGGGACTGCCCTTGAACTCTATTAAGAAACTTTGTGTGATGCATAAGAACACCTTACTTGGGAATCTTTGGTGAGGTACCTTGTCAAAAGCCTTCTAGAAGACCAAGTGTATAATGGCTAGTGGATCACCCTTCTCCTCATGCTTGTTATCCTGCATAAAGAACTCCAAAATTCAAGGCTGTTTGCTTGCTCCTCTCCTTTTTAATTTATATTTAAATGATCTGATGTTGAGCCTCTCATCCCCAGAGTTTCATGCCCCTAGATTAGCTTCAAAAGAATTACCACTGCTGCTTTATGCTGATGATGACTCTGTTCTTATTTCTCGTATTAAGATTGGTCTGAAGAGACTTCTGAGATATTTCTCAAATTACTGTTTAGAAGAGGAGTTGCAAATAAACTACAATAAATCTAAAAAACTGGAACACTGCTCATGGTCAATGTTCCCTCTAAGCTGCGGAGTCTTGTGAGCAAAAATTCTAATTTGTGAGCTACTGGCATTAAAGCTGTGAGCAAATAATTTGGCTGCTACATAAATTAGTTTGCTCTGGAGCCCTCCTTCCTGAGCTAAGGCAAAAATGTGTGAGCTGGAGGCTAAAAAACTGTGAGCTAGCTCACACTAACTCAGCTTAGAGGGTACACTGCTCATGGTACACCCTGGATAATGCTAAAGAGCTGGAACTTCTGGCTGCCAAGACAATCATAGGATCTTTTATCACATTTATTGTTCAGTAATTCTCAAAGTGATGTCATTCCCTATTTGATGCTAGACAGTGATCCGAATATAACCTTATTAGTTGCTAAATTCCTAACATATTTTCCTTTAGAAACTGAGTACTCTTTTAATCAGTGTTCCAAGATGTATTGATTGGAGGAGCTCTAAAAGGGAAAGGAAGGAAAGAACTTCAAAATGATTGTGAGGCAGGACTTCCCTTTACAGAAGACATGCTGTTTTTCCTCTAGCAGGCGTTGTTCCTTGATGTGCTTAATAATCCTATCTATATAGATAATTCTGTCTCATTCTGTCTGCAGAATGTGGTGGCACAATTACTAGATGCTGCTAGCTACAGGGACATAGTATGACATTGCTGAAATGGTCAGTTCAAAGAGCTGGTACTGACTGTTCAAGGCTACAAGACTTGAGACTGGGGACCCCATAAGACAATCATAGGATCTTTTATCATTGTTCAGTAATTCTCATAGTGATGTTATTCCCCATTTGATTTTAGACAGTGATCCGAATATAACCTTATTAGTTGCTAAATTCCTAACATATTTTCCTTTAGAAACTGAGTACTCTTTTAATCAGTGCTCCAAGATGTATTGATCGGAGGAGCTCTAAACAGGAAAGGAAGGAAAGAACTTCAGAATGATTGTGAGGCAGGACTTCCCTTTACAGAAGACATGCTGTTTTTCCTCTAGCAGGCGTTGTTCCTTGATGTGCTTAATAATCCTATCTATATAGGCTACAAGACTTGAGACTGGGGACCCCAGACAGCATTTCCTCCTATATGAATTTCCTTATGTCCTTGTGTAGGGCTATGCTCTAGGTGTCTTATTGGTTAAGGCTACATTTACAAGAAGCAGGTCCTTCTCCACAGTGGCACCTATTTGTTGCATGCTTTTCCCCTTGAGAGTCAATGGACCAGCTCCCTTTTAGCCTAAGAAGACCCTTATTTCATTTCATCCAGCCATTAGTGATTCAGTTGTTGTAATCTTCTACTGTTTTCAGAGGTCTTTGGTAAGTATTATAGTGCATTTGGTCAGTATTTGGATGGGAGACCAGCAAGGAAATCCAGAGTTGCTATGTAGAGGCAGGCAATAGCAAAACACCTCTTGCCTTGAAAACCTAAGGGGTTGCAACTTGACAGCAACGGATAAATAAATAGTGCATTTAATATGATTTTATATTATATTTCTTGGTTATTAGCTACTTTGTGGACTCCGGATGTGTAGTAAAACAGATTCCTCTTTCACTTCATTAGGGGGTTTATGCACCGTGTGTCTAGTGATTCAGGTCAGCCAGTATCACAACAGCTTCAGCACAACACGGTCGGGCATTTCCCCCCCAAAACAAAAATTGAGAATTAGAACCAGATAACTGTCAGATCTCGGAAGCGCACACACAGTTCATTGCTTTCTCAGTACAGACTGAGACTTCTTGTTCCTTAGTTACTGTGAATACTATAGTTCCAGTTAATTTAGCAAATAAAATCATAGACATTTAATTTCTTAACTTCAGGAATAAAATCCAATTCTGATTCAAGAAAGAAAGTAAAGCAAGGTTTCGAATAGTATATAGTGCTGAAAATATATATATCAGTGAACGCTGTTTCCTGCATTTTTTCCCTGCAGTGAAAGACACTGCTACAATAGACATCCTCTGGCGACAAGCTCTTTACTCTCTCTCAGACACATGTAGCTCACATGACCAAATTTGTTTTCTAGGAGAGCTCCACCAGGGAAATGCAAGCACAATCCTGTTCCAGTGAAAACAAAGAGTAAGCGAATCCCATTCACTCCACTTGCAAGTAAGTCATTAAAGGCAATTCGGGGGAGGTAATGTGGGACAGTATTTAATTTACAGTGAAAGGACGGATCTTTGAAATATACACTGGCCTTTAGAACCAATAGGACTGGATTTATTTATGTAATTAGAATTATTGCTTGCTCTGTGTTGAAGCCTTTGGGCAAATAAAACAAACGCTCAAAGCAGGACAGAGTAAAATGTTTATCAAATGCCCTGTGTTTCCCCATAACCATGAGGTCCAAAGACCAGATCCATCAGCTAGGCTTTAAAACATTCTGTCTGGTGTGGGTTTTAGTAAGCTGATTAAAGGAAGGAACACGACCCTAAGCATCATATGTCTCTAGATCTGGTGCACATTTATAGCAAGGCACACACATTGTCCCACAAAAGCAGGAGACTAAGGAGCAGGGACATGGGTGGTAGTCATCAGCACCAATATTATGTCACTTCCAGGTTGTCATGCCTCTTTCGGAATTCCACCCTTCCCTCAGGGATAGGCTTGAGAAGGAGTAAAGTAATGGCTGTGTGAGTTTGTGCTATCTGTGCCAACTATGAAAGGCAAGGTGCATTTGAGTCACACATGGGCTGCTTTAACATACGGCTTGGGTTGCCATCATTGGTTCACTCTGTTTTAACAGAGAAACCAAGTGATATCCATTGGCAGACCATTGTATTCCAGTGCTGTCATCCCACTTCTTTTTGGACTTGGAGTTGGATCCAGCAGAGGATTTCCACGGGTGGCCATTTTCACCAGTTCTCCCCTCCCACTGCAGCCCTCCAGCTTCCCCCTCTCACGCATCTTCCTAGGGTTCAGTCCCGTTTCCCAGGAACAGCATTTTGCAGGGGTTGCAGTGGAAGAGGGGAGCCAAGAAAGTCACACTCCACTGAGAGAAATCCCTTACTTCAGTAGGAATTTCCAGTAGATCCAAGCATGGTTAGTGCTCAGTTAAAATTCAGTTGCAGCGTCAGCATGTCCTGCATGAACAGTCAAAGAGTTGTGAGGCTCCTCCGGACTAGTGCCCTTTAAACTATTTTCTCCTTCTGGTTTGTTGTTTCCAGCCTCAATAATTACTTCCTGGTCACTGAAAGGTCCATCCCAGTATTCCCAAATCAGTGTTACAGATCTATTGCTGTTTGGGGATAGGAGAAGATGCTACTTTGCCACTGAAGCCATTACCCATCAACTGCTGGTTTAAACCAATCAGTGAGCTGCTTCTCATGCGGAAGTGAATTGCCCAGAGGCAGTGCCCAAAACAGCCCTGACCTGGAGGGCCCAGGCTAGCCCTATCTTGCCAGATCTTGGAAGCGAAGCAAAATCAACACTAGTTAGTATTTGGATGGGAGACCACCAAGGAAGTCCAGAGTTACTATGCAGAGAAAAGCAATGACTAACTAGTCTCTTGCTTTGAGAACCTTACCAAGGTCACCCCATAAGTCAGCTGTGACTTATTCATTTATTTATTTATTAAACTTATAACACGACCGCATTGTCTAAAACAAAACTGAGTGGGAATCTAACAGATGCATTCTGCTACCAGTGGCACCTTCCTCCAATGCCAGGAGCCCTTGGTCTGGTGGAAGGGGTATGTTAAACTGGTGGAAAGCTCCTTCCACAGGTAGAAGGCTGCATGGTTGGCAGAAGAGAACCTTTTGATCCAACCAAGATTAAAACAAAATATAGGCAAGTGACCTTTTGAAATGTCTTTTCACAGAAACGGTCCCTGAACTGCTTAATGAACTTCTTGCAACCAAGTCTCCTAAAACAGCCCTTAACACCACTGAAATGTCCCAAGCCTCTTCCAGCAGCCCCAAATCTAAGAAGCCTGCATCCCCCAATGGCTCTGCAAAGCACAAGCCAGGAAAGCCAAAGCCTGCCGGGCCTGGGAAGAAGCACCCAAAGGCCCAACCCGCCAGAACCAAAGGATCTAAGGCCAAGTCTGCTGGATCAGAGCAAACACTGAAGACTCCACACAGCTCCAGAGCAGCAGCATCCCCCCCAAAGAGGAAAGGGTCACATTTCAGCAGAGCCAAGAAGAAACTTCCACAGGTTCCAAAGCTGAGATCAGCAGCTAAGGAGAAAAAACAAAAGAAAAGGGTAAAAAAGAGGTTCAGATCCAGAAGTGAGATGTGAGCTTCTAATGTATCTCAGAAGAATCAAGTGAATAATGGATAGGATTGCTGGGCAATCCATTTCTCCTCCAGTTTGCTCTTGCTCAGAGTCAAAATTGTCATATAGTTTTCATGTAAAAACATAAGGGGGGAATCATTCACACCTGGTATAAGCAGCTGACTGTGACTATAATATGTGTGTTTAATTTGGAATTTAACTGCTCCATGTTTTCCAGATTGTTGCTTTTCACAGATCTTACTCTGAGGACCCTTTCATCAATCTAAGGAGATAATTTGGTGACGACTTGTGGGAGCGCAATTCTAGTGACTCCAGTGGGACCGTCGCCGGGTGATTGATTTATACCACTAATTGGCAGAAGCGTCAATGAAAATACAATAAGGGTCTAGTTAAATAACTCTGTGGCATCAAACATATGAATACCTTGCCTGAGAAAAGGGGTGCTGAGTATGTACATAGCATTGGTGGTACCTTAAAGGGCTGAAAAAGGATCCTTTAGGATGTTTGCATTTTCATTAATGGGAATGGAACAAACAACGTTCATGCAGCTATTGATGATAGAAGGTGGCTACATTTTTTTCAGCTGTAACACACTTTCTAAGAGAGTTGCCTTCTCTTTTTCTGTCTCTTCCTTCAATTAAACATTGGACAAAGCAATAAAGAAGTCAAAATGTTCTGTGCTTGTGTGATCTTCTTTGCAAGGCAGTCATTTGGATCCAAGGAAGTGTATTTCACCACTAAAACAAGTGTACCCCTAGGATGTGCCCATGATTTAATGAATGGATGGAAAATCATTTCTGCTCAATCCATAATTTTGAGAGGCATTTGTAATTCAAACTACTCATATTAGACAGAAAGGTGACTCTAGAACACTGGAACATTCATAGTATGTGAGTACAGTAGGGTAGGTACATAAGAACCACTTTGCTGAGTCAGACCAAGTTCTGTCTAGATTACCAACAGACAGTGGCCACCCTGTGAAGCTCACAAGCATGGCAAGAAAGTGAGATGCGTTCCGAACATTCAGTAACCAGAGTATAGTGCATCTGAACAGGGAAGCTATTTTAGCTATCATGATAACCAGTGACTGGCATTATCTAAGATAACTTTAGGGGGAGTAGCCAGCCAGTTTAGTTTGCTGGCACCTTAAGAGCATAAGAGAAGCCAATGTTGGATGAGGCCAATGGCCCATCCAGTCCAACACTCTGTTACAGTGGCCAAAAATACTAGGTGCCATCAGGAGGTCCACCAGTGGGGCCAGGACCAATGCTCCTTCTAAGCTGTGGAGTCTTGTGAGCAAAAATTCTACTTTGTGAGCGACCGGCATTAAAGCTGTGAGCGAGTGATTTGGCTACTGCATAAGTTGGTTTGCTCTGGAGCCATCCTTCCTGAGCTAAGTAAAAAATGTGCGAGCTGCGGAGACTAAAAAACTGATCTAGCTCACACTAACTCAGCTTAGAGGGAACACTGGCCAGGACACTAGAAGCCCTCCCACTGTTGCCACCCCCAAGCACCAAGAATACAGAGCATCACTTGTCCCAGACTGAGAGTTCCTATCTATACTTTGTGGCTAATAGCCACTGATGGACCTCTCCTCCATATGTTTATCTAATTCCCTCTTGAAGCCGTCCATGCTTGTAGCCGCCACCACCTCCTGTGGCAGTGAATTCCATATGTTAACCTTAAGGACTAACACATTTTAGAACTCAGATACCATCCATAACTGTGTCCACAATTTTTTTAAAAAACAGTTACCATGTCTTGTGGTACGGGATCCCATCAATGGGGAATGAGCAGGAGGAACTTTTTTTGTCTTACTAACAACGCCTGGTGATGTGTTTCATCAATCAGGTGACCTGCTACTTCAGTTGTTGTTGTTCAGTCGCACAGTCGAGTCCGACTCTTCGCGACCCCATGGACGAGCTCTCTCCAGGCCTTCCGGTCTTCTGCCGTCCTCTGAAGTTGGCTCAACTCTTGTGGTACTGGATCCCATCAATGGGGAATGAGCAGGAGGAACTTTTTTTTGTCTTACTAACAACGCCTGGTGATCAGTTTCATCAATCAGGTGACCTACTACTTCGGTAGTGTGGCCCAGTTTAAACACCACACTATCGAAGGACAAAGAGTTTGCATGAACAGTGTTGCACAATATCTCATTTAAACCGGGCCTCAACTGGGATATATGCAGCTTTAGCAAAAAGCCATAACCCTGGCGGGAGCTGGTTTACTATACTTGCATTGCCAGAAGAGTCACCCGGCTTAAACTGGATTGTAGGAGGGTGGAACGTTGCGCAGCTGAGATCTCTCCCAAGGGTGGCTGTTATAAACTGTTCATAAGCTTCCGGGGGCACCTGACTGCTTTTCAAATGCAGCGTACCTCTCGAGCTGTACTGCAGCGTCAGAGAGTCATTTTACATTAAGCCAAAGCGCAAATTCCTTGCTTCGAGTGAACAAATTCGAATCCTCCTGTGGTACACGTTTTCACTTAAATAGAATAATGCAGAATCCTTGCCCTGGAGCACCACCTACTGGCTAAAGCGCGGAACGACGTCTAAAAGCTACCGCTTTTACTGCTCCGCAGCCCACCCCGCCAACCCATTTGAAGCTCCAAATCCATTCTGGGACGAATCTGAAACATTATTTTAACGTCCTTTTGATACTGTCCATGGGGTTTTCTTGGCAAACATACTGGAGTGGGTTGCCATTTCCTTCTCCAGGTGGATCACGCTTGGTCTGACTTCTCTGCTGTGGCCTGTCCGTCTTGGGTGGCCCTTCACGGCATAGCCCACAGCTTCAGTGAACTGCGCAAGCCCCCTCGCCACGACAAGGCAGTGATCCATGAGGATCATGGATCTTCAGTAGTGTGGCCCAATTTAAACACCACACTAGCGAAGGACAAAGAATTTGCATGAACAGTGTTGCACAATATCTAATTTAAACCGGGCCTCAACTGGGATATATGCAGCTTTAGCAAAAAGCCATAACCCTGGCGGGAGCTGGTTTAGTGTACTTGCATTGCCAGCAGAGTCACCCAGCTTAAACTGGATTGTAGGAGGATAGAACGTTGGGCAGCTGAGCTGTCTCCCACGGGTGGCAGTTATAAACTGTTCATAAGCTTCCGGGGGCACCTGACTGCTTTTCAAATGCAGCGTACCTTTCGAGTTGTACTGCAGCGTCAGAGAGTCATTTTACATTAAGCCAAAGCGCAAATTCCTTGCTTCGAGTGAACAAATTCGAATCCTCCTGTGGTACACGTTTTCACTTAAATAGAATAATGCAGAATCCTTGCCCTGGAGCACCACCTACTGGCTAAAGCGCGGAACGACGTCTAAAAGCTACCGCTTTTACTGCTCCGCAGCCCACCCCGCCAACCCATTTGAAGCTCCAAATCCATTCTGGGACGAATCTGAAACATTATTTTAACGTTTGAACACACCCTGTATTTTAAAAATGAATTGTCAGCGTTCAGCCTTTGTTAAATTAAAATAAGAATGGTCCGCCCTCGCTCCGATTTTTATATTTCTAGCAATACCTAACAGACCTATAATGGTTGAGCTATACCAAACATTTGTGATGAGCTGAATTTTATGTTAAATGTTTTGCATTAAGATTGCAGATACAAATTGTTAAAAAATAAAAGCACACCGAGGCCCCAGCGAGGATCGAACTCGCGACCCCTGGTTTACAAGACCAGTGCTCTAACCACTGAGCTATGGAGCCACCTATCAACTCTTCTTATACAAATGAATGGTACTGTACTATCCTGTCACACATTTCTAACAAAGCTACAAACAAAGCCGTTGTGCGACAATACATTTCCTTTCCTTTGCCATTAAATACGTGAGAGGGCGTTTTGGACATTTAAAAGCAACGATGGTTTTAAATAATAAAACGAACTCCGCTGGTGACTTTCAGGCAATCTTTCCAATTCTAAATACTTTAGCAGCCAGTTTAAGTAAATCCTCAGATAGTAAATAGGCATTTCACGAACATATTGAAAGAGCAAATAAAGCAAACCCAAAGACTAGTATTTATTACCACTTATTTCTCTAAGCAGGCTTTCATGCAAATACCCAAACGCAACACTGAGAGCTTGCTGGCAAGAGGTCAGACCACGAGGTCCCCGGCCTTGAAAGTAGCACGCAGAATGTTCTCACACTATTTGTTTGAAAAATAACCCCTAGGAAGTTTCTTCGGTCTTCACCGCGCCGTTTCAAGACTCCGAATCCAGCTTTCAATTAACGAGCTTCGTTGTTGATCCTGACTAAAGAGTGAAAAGCTGCTTACCTCTCTCACAGTCTGAAACAGGTAAAGGGTCATTCTCTTTCCCCAGGGAATGGGTTTGTTTTTTTAGTAATGATGATGGAGCGTGGGGTGCGGGGGAGGGGAGAGGGAGAGAGATCTAACACATTTCTGTGTCCTCATCAAACTACAACTCCCAGGATTCTTTGGGGGGTGGAAAGCCGTACCAGTTAAACTAGTATAAAAGTGATAGAAGCTTACACTGTAGAATGAAGATAGCCAATTACAATTTCAGAAAGAAAAATAAACACTGTTATTTATTTAGTTGCAGAAGGTAGCCGTGTTGGTGTGCAGCAGAACAGTTTGACTGGTGTCCAGTCAGCACTTTATAAAAGATCAACAAGATTTTCAGGATATAAGCTTTCAAGAGTCAAAGCTCCCTTCCTCAGATACATATCTGAGGAAGAGAGCTTTGATTCTGGCAGGCTTATGCCCTCCCAAATCATTTTGATCTCTAAGGTAGTACTGGACTTGAATGTGATTATTATTTGTTTCTCTCAGTGAAATGAAGAATCCATCCTGCAAAACAGGGGACAACTCTGGGTTGGGAAAGTCCTGGAGATGTTGAGGGTGGAGCCTGCGGTTTGGGGAGGTGAGGGAACACAGCAAGTATGATGCCATAGAATCCACCCTCCAAAGCTATTTTTCCCAAGGAGACGAGTTGTGATTGCGGAGATCTCCCTGCCCCAACAGGAGGTTAG